CGTGTCTACGTTTCGAAAATACATTGTTTAGAAATCCAATGAATCATTTACTTTTTTCTGAATTCTGTTTTCTATAGCAAAAATATTGAAACTGTAAAATAAATCTCTGCTCAGAAATCACACATAACGAATCATAATTAATTTTTATTCCAAATCTGTCCTCCCATGCGCAAAAGGGAATATTAAATTAATGAAGTTCTAAACTAGAAACATTTAAACCCCTTCCAAGAATTAAATCCAAAAAAATTTATTTTTTGTTGAAGATGATTTGTTTATTAATAAAATAGCTAATAAGTTACAATAATTTTTATAGCATATATTTTATTTTGACAGCAAAAATATATTTATTTGGTTATTATATTTTTTAAAATATGAAGCTTAAAATAATAGTTTTCTCCGTTTCAAAGAAATCTGACATAATGCTATACGGCGGCGGTGCCCAACCTTGTGCTCGCCGATCTTTTTGTATGTGCTCGCCAGCCCGATTGGGTACTATGAACAAAAAATATTTTAAAAATAACCATTCATTTATTTTTCTTAAATGTTAAAATGGTAAGCATGTAGTCTAGAGATTTGACGTTATAACAATGATTGCGACGTAGAACTTGTACGAACATGGAATCCTTATGCTCATTCCGATGTTAATGGCTCGAGGGAAAAAGTACTCAACGATTTGCATAACTTCTTCGTCAATAAAGCATTTTGGAATCCGGAAACAAAGTGAAAAGAATTGGACGATTGGTTAGCTGATCTGCATTGCTCACGGATATAGCAGCTAAACTGAACCATGAACGAATCTTCGGGAAAAGGAAAAAAAAAAAAAAAAACACTTTTTTAATTGACGGGACTGTAATGCTTTCAGATAAAGTTAACTTTGTAGATAATCAGATGAAAAAAAAATATCACCCCATTTTCAGAATTTATCAAGCCTTATTATAACCACAAGGCATTGAAACAGAGAATACTCGAAACCTAAACGCCTGAAAATACTTTTGAACTCTGCTTCTCTGATTTCAAAAAGTTAACAATATTACTATCATCTCAAACCCATTGCTAAAATAAATTTCAGATTCAGAAAGATCCTGCATCTTACAATGGATACCTCTCATGAATATTTTTGGTTATGAGAAGGCCGGTGGCGCAAGGCATCCGTGATTCTCCTCAGCATCCACTGCCTACCCTCGTTGATGCCAATGCATTGCCAGCCAAGACTATCGGTCAGTTAAGGAAACTCCTCCGAATTGAACTGTGACAGAGCCATATCGACATCATATCATACTTAGGACAATCCTTAAAGGGATTAGGATTTGCAGGCGGACAGCGTAGTTACACCAACCTTTGTCTCATTGCCAGATGACATCCTACTGTGTCGCCATCAGATCTTCAGCTGCCCAGCAATCCAGGCCAGACTGTTTAACATCGGCATTGAAGACCCAGTGGACCTGCATTATACTGATAGAGCTGCCGAGGTTGCAAAAGCTGTCTTTGACAGCTTTGGAACATAATTGCACTTTGTCATAGACAAGACATCATCAATATTTCAGATGTATCTCATAAGATTGGAAATATGTTTAACAAAAGTGTTGATGTTTTGGAAATGTGCTAGCGATAGGCCAAAGGTTGGGCACCACTGCTATAAATGTTTCATTTAGTTTCAACAACCAGTTATTTTATGTTAATTTTATTTTCTGTTAATTTTATTTTCTGTCATTCTCATTTTTCTGCCAAATGTAAATTTCTAGTTCATGTGTATTTAACAAGGTAGAAAGGAGATAGTATTTAAAAGAAGGTTTTACAGGTTAGAATCAGAGCTTGTTTTTCCTGCTGATGGCCACGTTGCTAAGCTAAGAGCTGTATTTTACGGCATTGTCACGCCGACCTTAGGTCAGAGCCAACTTACGCGTTTCTTTATCTGTTTTAGCATTTATTTAGTTAAGTCAATTTCATTACCTTTAATTAAAGCCATAAATGCTGACTATTCTATAAGCACGAGCGGTGCCTTCTGTTAACTTACGCGTTTCTTTATCTGTGTTAGCTGTAGAATTATTTCAATTAGTACGAATAGCTTACTCAGAAATTATGTAAAACCGCATTGCTTTACTTCGCTAGTGCACTCTCATTAGAATTGATGAATTTACACTTGATTTTGCCTTTTCTGTGTTTCCCCTTTGGGTGAGCGGTGTGATTGCATTCTATGCTTAATTAAGCGATGGTCTTAGGGGATAAAATTAACTATGTGCAAAAAATTTATGTAATTGATGACAGTATTAAAGAAACAATCACTGATAAGAATGGCTGCGACTTGTTTTGAAACTGAGGCGTATAAGGTTACCAGCGAAGATATTCCATTTGACATCAGTTGTACCATTATTGGCAACTTTATCGTTTGCGCAGGCAAAACGGAAAAGTATCCTTTTTCGTAATATATGTAACATTTTAAAAATTACAGCATTGAACCAGAGTCCTATAAACAGAAAAATCACTGTGTTCTATCTTATTTAGCTAGAACATACTAGTCAGTCCCATTCCCATCAACTTCTTGAAGTAGATATAAGGTATTTCTCCCACTTTCCTGACGTGCTTTCGTGGTGTAGTGGTCAGAACACTGAGCCGGTATTTCAGAGGTCCGTGGTTCGATTCCCGGTGAAGGTGGTTGATAGTTTTTCATCTCACCGGCTTCCAAAAATCCTAATGTCTCTACATGGATAGTCTTCAAGTACCTTGATTACATACTAACTACCCCTTCGATCTAAGCATAGCAGAAAGTTCTTCTGAACGCCTAATGCCATATACACTGGTGTGCAAAAATTAAGGACGAGACGGTTTTTTCAATATAACTTTGTACAAAAGCTTTCCAAATCAACACATTTAATATCGTAAGATCCAATACGTAAGGGACATGAGTTTAAGCAACACTTACTAAAAGAGAAATCAGAGGATAAAAAGAAGCTTTATTGAAAAGTGCATGGAGCGCAATGCGACTGAAGCCGAAACGCCCTGTGATGCCCGCAAGAAACATCCGGTCTTTAAAAGGGGATATGATCTCCCTGACTGCTAGGCAGGTTTTCACAGCGTCTGCCCATGCGAGAATGAGGTTTCAATGAGTTGTGAGGCATTGCTGCCCATTCGTCTTGCGCGCCAATCGAAGCTCCGGAATCGTTACTGGTGGTAAGGTCGAGCTGCCAAGCGTGCCTAGAAAATCCCATACATGGTCGTGGGATTGAGATCCGGAGATCTTGCCGGCCAATCCATACGTTCATATCCTCACTCTCTAAGAGCTGTTCGGAGCTACTGTGCGATGACATGGTTGCAGTGTCGCCTCTAAAAATACGCACATATGGAAGAAGATCTCTTCAAAAAGGTCCGTTGACTGAACCTGCGTCGAGATGTAGGTCTGTACGACTACCAAGCATGATGCCTTCCCAAACGAGAACACCGCCACTTCCATACCTGACCCTTTCAATGATGTTCGAGGGATTATGCGGCTTCCCCGCTCTCTCCAGATGAGTATGCGATGAGAATCGCTACTCAACTGAATCCTGCTCTCATCTGTAAGATTACTCCGTCCCCATTCATTGTCTCTCCAATTCCGGTGTTTCCGGCACCACAGAGAACGCTTCTCCGATGGGCAGGCGTTAAAGGTACACACCGTACAGGGCGTCGTGCAACAGACCACCACCGTGCAGTCTTCGGCCACGGTAAAACGCGATATCGGTCGTCCAGTCGCCTGTTTGTGTCTGCGATTTCTCCCGCTGTCTGTCGCCTGTTTCTTCTGGCCTGTAAGGCAATATACCGGTCATCTGCGGGTGTGGTTCCTCGTGGACGACCACTACTAACCCCTGGATACTGTTCCTGTAGTTGAAATTGTCTCCAAAGTCGTGAAATGTTGTGAGCATTCCGAACTCTGCACCACACTTGTCACACTGCGGCCTTCCTCCAACTTCCATGGTTCGAACTCGGTAAAAGTATCCAGATGTCGTCTAACAGATTGATTATTCGCCATTTCTCGCTGAGGCAGCACTGGTGTATTTTAACTGCTATACACGTGAATCTCTTTGCTAGAAATATTGATCTTACACCGACAACATGCTTTATACTACTCAGACACTCCCCATTATACATCTACCTGCATATCTGCGCATGTGATACCGTACATCACCTTACTTAATCTCCTGATTGGGGTTTCTGTCCGCTCTGCCTCTTCGTTCAGCTGATATGCTAATTTTTCGACTTCGTCCTTAATTTTTGCATCATAGAATAGTGGTATGATACATCATAGAATGATATTTATATGATTTAGAGAAATATTTTTTTCTGGAGTATGAAATTATAGATCGAACAAGAAATCATAAATATGTATTTATTTTTTATTGCTTAATAAGATGTGGCATATTGCATTCATTGCGTTCTTTTTGTGGAATTCATTTTGCTTATTAATTTCACCATTTCGTTTCACTTTGGCATAGATTCTTTGCATCATTAATCGAGCAGAAAGATCGTTGTTTTCCCTTTATATCATTATTATTACTGTTTATGTATGATTTGACAAATTTTTAGTAAATAAAATTAGTTTTATTAGGAAAAAAGTTATCTACGCCTTTTTCTCAATGAAAATTAAACATTTATAATGTTTATTCAGAGAATATCTGCTATTCTTCAGAACTATTTCCTTAAATGCTTTAATTAACTTGAACGATTTTGATACAATACTCGTTCAAAATTTTGTATCAAACCAATTTTTATGGTGTTTAATAATAAAACTAGCAAGTTCGTGATATTATTTTCAAATTTCTGGCTTTTAGACTGATAACATATAAGAAACATTACACCAGTTTACAAAATATAGATTCCATTTACCTCTAGGGTTGAAAATCGCAAAATTATGCCTAGATGAAGATCTCTTCCGGGAAAGATTAATGCAGGCATTGTTAGCGAGTCACAAAAACACTAATCAATGTGCTAAGCGGATGGAAGAAGCTTACTAAGTGGTGACTAATTGCATTTTTTTCTTGTCCTCTTTGTAGCTCGTCGCCGATAAAGAGATCAAGGATAAGATCTTAGACTTGGCTGTCTACTGTCTACAGAAGAAAAGGGGATGCAAAAGGACGCTTCTTCTCAAAGAACTGGAGGTGAGTAACCTCGAAATTTTATTGTCTCTTGTCTTGCGCACATTTTTCATTTTCATTTTTTCATACTTTTTTACATTTAATACCGGCCGCAAACATGTTGCTGTTATTGTTGCTTTTCGATGAAACATTCTTTCGTAAACCCGTCGCCTCTAAATAACAACATTCAAAAATAAAATAAAGTCAAAAGCTTTATTGGTCCAGGGGAAACACATTTCGTCTTCTGAAAAGTTCTCAATCTTTATATAGTAACAATACTCTTTGATAATAATGGATATTAATATCAGATTCCTGTTTGAATATTGCTACTCCACAGTATACCTTTTAATCGTTATGCTTATTGTTAGCTCGAATGGGGCATTAAGTCTTGAAACGGGATTTTGCGTCTTCCACTATAAACGGCGAATCACTTTTGTTGCCACCAAATACTATCAACCTGTATTATCTTTAAAGAAATTAATGAAGAATCTGCGTCTATGTATGCACGTACGTTCCTCGTATTGTGAAAAAACGACGGTAACTAGAGGCATTAAATTTTGAATAATGTCGTCGTCCACCCAATCGTGTGCGCCTGGAAGCTGACTTTATAATTTTTACATTTCATATTTAGTAAAACTTTGACGAATTTTGATTAACAAGGTTAATAATTTGAAAGCGAACAATGGTAAAACTGTACGGAATAAAATATGTTTTATCTCCGTACAGTATTTTATTTTTATATAAAAACAGCTATAAAGATATGTTGTTTTTAAATATTTTCTGATTTTGCCGTTGAATTGAAGTTTATATGAAGAAAACGTGAAGAATGATATCTAAGAAATAAAATTAACATACAAAAGACACAAGTGTTGTGAGCCATCTTACTAAAAAAAACTGAACATTGACATGATGAACTAAGAAAATACTGAAAAAGATAGAAAAACGCATGCCAATACTTAACACTGCATCGGGAATTATTAACCTATGCTGCTTTTAAAATTGTTGTAATTTTGTTGTTGAATCGTATACTACGTAAGTGAGAATGGTGTTTAATAATAAAACCAGCAGGAGTGAGTGCAACCGCAGACTGGTAAACTGCGACCTCAGAGAGAGCTTAAAAAACCTTAACAAATCCTTATGAGCTATCGCTAAAATCTGAATCTGAACTTTTTCGTATTTTTTTTTAAAATTATTTGTTAGAAGCAGGTAAACGAATAACAGTAAGTCTATCTATTTATCTGAATAATCTGCCTCAGTAGACCCAAGGGTAAATAATTTAGCACTTAGTTAAAAAAGTTTTTGAAATCTACTTGTAGAGATTTGACCCCTGTCTGGGGGCCGAATCCGGGACTGAGTCAGGAGGAGTCGTTAACCTGTTCGGATAACTGGACTTTAACCCCTGGAGGCTCACATAATATTTGGTCTCGACTAATTTGTTCTTGTGTAATGTGACGGAGAACAGAATATTGTTTAAACGGAATTTAATCTTTCTTACGCTAATCTTTTCAGCTGAAAAAGTTTAGAAACTTCGAAAGAAGACTCTTCAAATTGTATTATATCAGGAGCAGGAGAATGCATAAAAAATAAACTTAATCCTGATTATCAAATATCTAAAACTGAAAACTTTATTATGGCAGGAAGTCGAAAAGAATGTAATACGGATAATATTTTAATTACAAACTGTTAACAGACATAGCCTCCTTTTAGTCCGTCAAAAATTGGGATTAAATTGTTAAGCTCGTTTGTGTGGCGTTTTTCGATGTACTTGAACCCAGTCTCTGCTTTTTTATATAGCTACTGCTTTTTATTTTTTATTATTCAGAAGTATCCTTTAGCCAATTTTTTTCGCCCGGTTGTAAAGAAACACATATAAATGCCAGATGTTATATTAATTAACCTAAGATTTAATATGCAATGAAATTTAATTTTTTGCATTTGCTTTTAGTCTTAATGGCATGCATTATAGTCATTCGCGTGTATCATCTGAGACACTATTTCCTGGCTTTATTAAGACTGACGTAGTCATGTAAGTCTAATTACGTATCCAAACATGTAGACTCATAATATGGGCTTCAGATATACGTATGAAAAAAGAGATTTGCAGTCCGTTCAAGTTTCAAATACCATATCCCTTAGTAATGAAACAATAAATTATTCTCGTTAAGCTTCTTTCAGACTTTTTATAGATCAATATCCTTTTATTAGGGTCCTAAAGAGAATAATGTACTCTAAATCACAAGTCACAACTCATAAAAATGTCCGTGTCGCATAAATATAGCTTTTACACTAATGACGAGAGAAATGTAGATGCTTATTGAATTAAATTTCGAGACTTAATGTCTGCTTACAGCCTTTTGAATTATTACTGTAGTCAATGTTTCCTGGTTTTCGAGCGATGCTTCATACTCTTGAAGCCGCTCATGTTACATTACATATTTATGTCAGAAAAGGATTCGAATCACACTCGCATGTAACAATTCAGTCGTACGCATGTAGCAAATCAAAAATTGTTGCCGAACATGCGTACGGATTTGTAATAGACTGAATGTATACTTTGCACACGCACACACACAAAAAGACAATTCTGGATTTTCCGTTCTACTGGTTCTACTTGCGTTTTTTATGTCTCGAAAGCGCGACTTAGGATATATATTAGATTTATATATGACATTCTTCTAACATAGGTATTCTGGCACAAAATCGAATTTTTTTCCGAAATGGCACACCTAGTTTTTTCATATTTCGATTCTACAACTCTAATTATGCCAAAATGCCAAGTTTTGTTAAAATCGCACGAGTAGTTTTTTAAAAATTAGCTCTCAAAATTTTAATTTCTCGATGTTAATTGAATTTGGTATATATTTATTAATATCTCTTTTCTTATTAAACTTACTTGTTTCCTTCTTTCACATATGGCATTTGGAATAAGGCTGTTCATTTCACTCCTGTAAGAATGACGTAGAGAATCAGCATGACATACGCGGGAGACCCTAGTTTTTATTAATAAGCATATACTGGTGGAATGTTGGAATAAAGAGACCAAAGAATCATTTTGCTCCATTAATTGCCAAATTATGATCGAGCTACTTTGCTGTATAACATGTTATATTAGATGTTTAAAATATCTGCCGAATGAGCATGGATTATTCGTAAATCACAAACGACTCTGTAGTGTTATAGTTGTAGACGGCTTTGCAAGTGTTACTATAGTTTCTGTAGTGTTGTGTTGAAGACAAGAAGTTTAAAGTCAAATAACTTGCTGGAGAAATTGTAGCTTCCATTTTTTGGAGAAGATTTCTAGAATGTAGTTTTCAAAGACTTCTTATAGCAAAAGTGAATATCGAAAAATTTACCGACATTGTGTCAAACTAAATAAATAAAAAAAAAAGTTCGCAGACGATTGTCTGGCGAAAACTCACGTGTACTGGCAAATAAACTCATTTTCATTCACTCTGTATTCTATCTATATAACGCCGGCACTATAAAGCTGTAGCATTGCCTTCTAAGCTGGGGGATAAGCAATGGCCGAGCGGAAAAGTCGCTAAACACTGGTAGTTCAGCCCGGGGCGCGAATTACGCGAAGGGTCGGCTGCATGGGCGTTTTCGTGGTCTTTCCCATATGTAACATGTATATCCAGTTATCCTTAAGGCAGTTATCCTTAAAACGTTCTCCACGAAGGCATCCTTCCCCTTAGGCGCATAGCCCTAGTGTGCTTTGCGGCAACCTCAACGAACCAAACCAAACCAATCTAGGCTGGGAGAAGAGTTAGCATCCAGCAATTCCATGCAGGTCTTCTGGTGATTTGCACCAGTTTTACGATGTTATACCGATCTCGGTTCTCTCTACATATATGAAGATAGCGTGAATCAGCTGCAACAATGTGCCGACATTAGCACTGACATGAATTTTTGAGTCCAAGCTTGTCAAGTAACAGTTGAAGTGAGACGGATGTCTGAATTTATTGCATTTTACGTCCTTTGTCCCCACAGTACAAACAGTTTGCAGCTGGTGCATTTCCTTTCTGTTGTTCAAATGAATAATTTTTTTTTCGAGGGGGGGGGATTTCTTTTCCATCGCTGATTTCAGGATTTTATAAAAAATTAATAAATATCTAAAATAGCTGTGCTGTTCATCCTAATTATAATTTCCTAGTAACAGTAAACAGTTCTATACTCTTTTTTTTTTTTTTTGTAAAGAGATTGCGTAAGCTGAAAAAGAAATAAAAAATAATTTAGTAAAATTAGAAATAATGTACTATTCTTGTTCAGAGCAATTTAAGGTGAAAATTTTAGCTCATTAAGCTAAAAAAATAGAGTTTTTTTGAAAGACCATTCTACAGCAGGAATATCTAAAAAGTTAATTTTTTTTAATTTGAAGATATGTATGCATATTTTACAAATTCTGTCTTACAAAAAGATAATTGTCACTAACTTGGAACGACTATAAAGATTCTAAAACAAAAATCAGATGAAAATTGAAAATATAAAAAATTTTATTTGTTGTAAATAAATCCACTCAGCTCTGAAAGTCGTAAATTGTACGAAATCACCTCCGTAAAAAACCACCAACAAGCAGCTGATGCAAAGTAAAAGAAAAATAAAATATTATTAAAAAATCTAAATAATATTTTTAATGAATGATGAATGGCTGTTTTTGTGAAATAATACAAAGGCTTTTTAATTTCAGACCCACCTGGAAACGTGCGGTTATGTGCCAGTTTCGTGTCCATGCAGTTGTGGACTACAGGTAACGAAAAGAGAACTGGCGCAGCATTTGACATCTACTTGCGATCGAAGGCTCGTAGCTTGCCCTTTTTGCCAAGATGAAGTAGTCTACAAGGATATGGACGTAAGAAAGATTTTATTATTTTGTGTTGTAAATGTATTTCATTACATAACAATATTTGTATTATTACCTACTTCCAACTCAAACAACTCCTTAACAATGACTATAGTAGATAATTTATAAATATGGTTCGTGATTAGCAAATTAATTCCTTATTTATTGATATTTAAATTTGGTTAGAAAACTTGAGTAAATACGTTTGATGCAACGCCTTCACTTTACATGAGGGTGGTTATTTTCCTCATTTGTTGAAAAAGAAACCTTAAGCCATTTTGAAATGTTTTAAGCTGTTAATACATGTGCTGTATCAATATGGAAACTACATAGTTATAGTCATGAAACTGTAACTTACAATCATTCTTTTGGCAATTAGATAAAAATTGGATATTTCATACTAAATGGGAGAAAAAGAAAGCATACCTGTAAACGCTGTGTATATTTTTAGTTGATAAACCAAACTTACACTGAAACTATAGCTATCTAACTTTCTATAGCTATTCTATATGTGGGGCGTCTGGCGACACGGCAAATATCTGTGCAGTATTCCAGTTCCTGCCACACTCGTGATAGAATACCCATTGTGGATGATTCGAGCACTTACAGCTGCTGTTAAGTCTTGGGGAAATGTAAGCGCGAACACTTTGGCACCCCATAGAAAAAAATCACAACTGACGTGGAACGGTGTTTAAGAGACCCGAGTGCCTGGGCCCAGTGCCCTACGCCGAATTGACGATTAAAAATTTCGAAATAATGAACTGAATAGTACGTTAAGAAATAACATAACAAATTTGCATTAATTTTTTTAAATATAAGTGTTAACTAATTATTTGGAGGAGATTTTTCAGAAAGCTGATCGAGCTGGGAACAAAAAGTACTAAGTGCACAATGCAAGCGGTCGTAGTGGTAAAGTTTAAAAAATTTAATAAGCAGACAATACAGTAAAAAAAATACAAATCAAGGAAGGTAAAATTATAAATAAAATGACATTCAGTCCTAATTATTCCATTATCACACCTTGGGATTAAATATGGTCATAGGCCACTTTTTATGCTGCTAATCCAGATAGTTATAGATCCGGAAATCAGGAAGATTAAGTGTTCTCACTTTTGCATGAAATTTAACTGCAAGATGGTAATAAAATGATCTTAGTTGGACAATATCAAGTTTTCCACGAATGATATTATTACGAACGGTACTAGGGTGCTTTGGAGATCTGCCTCGAACACAGTCCTATGAGGTTTAAAGATTTTTTCTGTCAGATTTACAAGAATACTTCCTGATTGGACAGCCATAACATAAAATGGGGCGCAACATAGACTTATAAATGAGTAACTTGTTGTGAACTAATAGAACGCTGTTTCGAACAATTAAGGAGTATAGTTTAGCTTTGCGAACTCTAAACTTCTGAAGAATAGAGTGTACTATGTATGGGGTCTAAGTGAGTGAATTAGTGAAGATCCCCGCGGGATAAGGGACTTGCTTAGCCCAGGGTAGAGTTGTTCCATATAACTGCAGATGCTATTTAATGTTCTTTTTTCTGGTGAACATAACTGCAATGATCTTGTCCACTTCGATTTTCGATTTAATAAGCCAGGCCTCTAGTGCGTGTATGTGGCTTTGAAGATGTTGAATAAATGGACTAAGAAATGCATTTTGTGCAAGGATCGCTGTATCATCAGCATACATTGCAAATGTAGTGTGAGATGTATTAGGTATATCGTTTACATTAATATTAAATAAAGTGGTGCTAAGTAAGGACCGCTGTGGTACACCTGATAAAATAATAGAGCGAATTGACAGTGTATCAGAATTTGAACGAAAAAGTGTCTACTTGTTAGGTAGGATGTAATTATGTGTGTAATGTAATCTGGGAACTCCATATTGGGAATTTTATAAATAAATGCGTCCAACCAAACACAATCGAAAGCTTTGTTTATATCGATAAACAACCCTACCGTGAATTGCTTTTGGTGAAAGCCCTCCGAAAGGTGTTCAACAACACGATATAGTTGATAATACGTTGACAAATTCTTGTGGAATACGAATTGTGAAAGGATCAGAATATTCTTTCTGTCTAGATAACTTTTTACGCGCTTGAGGATAACTGCTTCTATGAGCTTTCTTATGCATGGTAGCAGACTTATGCGCCTATAGGGACCAGACTCATTGGCTGGCTTTTATGATTTGGGGACTTGAGAAATATGAACCGTTTACCACTCAGCTGAAAAGTATTGCCAACGAAGTATAACATTAAAAAAGTTTGTCAACTTGAAGATCATTTTTAGAGGCAGCATTTTAATCATCTTGTTAGTGATTTTGTCAATTCCTGGGCTTTTCTGCTGTTTGGGTTTTTTTATATAGGCTATAACTTCCGACAGTCGAGCTGGAGCAATCTTGTTGGCGAATGGGTGTATTTTGTACCTAGAGTGAAAGTCAGAGACTATGTTTTGTGTGGTTGCGTCGTGAAAGTTGTTTGTGCAAAATTGAGATTCCAGATGCGTAGTTAAGAGTTCTGTGTTCTCAGCTTCGGTGTAATGGATCCCTTTCGGGCTTTTAAGGGACGGAGGAATAGCTTTGATGCAATTTTTTTTAATCTAGAAGCCGCTCTCCAAAGGGAATTATCATCAACAGAGAGTGAGTTCAGATAGCTAGTCCAGTCGTTTCGTGTTTCTGTATTTGTAAGATTCCTAACGGCATCGTACAATCTATTTAATTGTTGTTTATCTTCCGGATGCCTGATCCTTTGAAACTGTCTCCCAGCAGCTTTACGTTTTTTGATGAGGTACTTCAGCTCAACACTTCTGCGAGGTGTGGAGGTTTTAGCAGTTCTACTGGCATATTTATGAACATCAGTGATGGAACTCGTAAAATTCTTAACCAAACTGTCAATGTCATTTTTTATGTGTACTGTTGGAAGAGTATAATGAGTGTTGCTGAGAGCTTTTCCAAACTTAGGCCAGCTAGTGATAATGGCTCTTTTGACTGGTGTGATATGACAACTGATGTCCAATAGAATTCTGACCGGTTTGTAGTCTAAAGAAAGCTCATTCAGCACAGAAATATCGAATGGATCACTGGTTTTCTGAGCAGGAGGAAGTCTAAAATTCCTGTGGACCCTGAACTATATCGTGTTGGGGTTCTAGGAGCTGCTATGCTTAATAACGCCGAATTGAATAAGGTATATATTACGCGTTCAGTACTGTTAGTATTATAACATTCGTGTCGTGCATTCAAGTCTCCATTTATAATAATCCGAGTTCGAATCACGTAGAAGGAATGAATGGTTGTAAATGTCTAGTGTTTGTACGGCATGGGGTCACTCTAAATACATGCTAGCCCAAAGTCCTCTTGTGCGGTTGGTGGTAGAGGAGAGGGGTGGGAGACCCTCGGGTGCTCTCCCAATCGGGGTGGAAGTAGAAATCCAACCTCCTTGAGGCTCTGGCAGCCATTCTTCCATGAATTACATGGACAAGACTGTACTCAGCCACGAAAAACAATTACATGGACTCATCTACATAAAACATCAGAGATTTAACTATTGTAAAGTAATGTTATTAATGAAGTATTCGCTCCGAACTAAAGTGAATGAAAATTTGATTATATTAACTCATTTTATACATTAGTTCTCATTTGATTATATTAACTCATTTTATTACATTAGTTCTCATTTGATTATATTAACTCATTTTATTACAATAGTTCTCATTTTATTACATTAATTCTCATTACTCAAGCTACTAAATGTTATGTTGCAAATGTACCGTATGTTGCAAACTAAATTCTATGAAAAATAAATCTGAATTATTTTTGTTAAATGAAACATTACTCTAATGGCTGTTTCTTGCATTTCAGGCCCACAATGAAGTATGTGGTAAAAGGCCCGTTGTTTGCCCACATTGTAAAGCGGAGGTTAAACGAGAACAGGTAAATATAGAATAATCAATTAGTTTAATAACTTTCTAAAGAAAATTACTAACGACTGTAGAGTTGTTCTTGGCAAAAGATGAGAGGTTTTGTGCTTCAATTTTTTAATACAAAATGTTATTCCGTATAGTTATACAGAACGGGCATAAATTAAACTTTCTAATTAAAGGATATTAGTGCTTTTTGGAAACAAAAACAGAAGTTTTAACTTTAGAATAAACTTTATTTATAAAAAGAGAAATAAACAGTTAACTAAGTTGCTTAACACAGATTAACAGCATTAGGTTATTTCCAGATGCTTTAAATCCTTTAAAGACTGCACCTAAAATCACAAGAAAATTATTTCCTTTTGTTTAAAAATTCAGGAATAATTTAAAGCTTTCGAAAAAATATCAGGATTTGTTTCTAAAACAGCTACATAACCGCAACAACCGTGATAAAGGTTGGTCAAACTGCTAAAAGTTTCTGCTTCTTTGTATTTTGAATCCTTCCTCCTGATGTGCTTTAACATTTTATGCACATTTTAAGACACATGTATATGCACTTAATTAATCTTTTGATAAATCCTTAATATTCAAGAAAACCACCACAAAAGCATCCATTTAATGCTAAAGAACGCCGTAAGCGATTAAAATCACATGCAAGTTTATGTTGCTGTTTAGTTAATAAGATTTAGTCATCAGGAGCTTCTAGCAACCATAATATAAAATGAGTTTTCCATGTTTAGTATGTAAATTGTGTAATAGTCAAGTCCTAAATTTTATGAACGAGAGAAACAGAAAACGATACTCTCAATTCGTCATACTGATATGATCAAAAAACAAGGGACTGAACGTGTTGACTCGAAAAATTTTCAATCTTTTAGTGCCGAACAATGATATATCATCGTTGGCAACACTTGCGAAAAGTGCCAACAACGACACATCGATGAGTATCCGATGGAGCCTTAATATTCCCATTGCGAGAGAACTTGTAGAGACATTAGGTATATTTTTGGAAGCAAGAAAGATGAAAAATAGCAATCGCCATCGCCGGGAATCGAACCACGGACCTCTGAAATACCGGAACAGTGTGCAGAACCGCTACGCCACGAAAGCACGCTAGGAAAGCGGGAGAAATACCTTATATACTCCCCTTTTTAAAGGGCGACTAGGGTTTTAGGGGACCTAGTCGCCAAATCCTGGGTGCGGAGAATCATCATCCACAACCCTTTAGTTCGGGCGCCACTGTAGAGCCATTAGGTTTATTGGAACAGAAACGATGAAAAAGCACCGCTTTCGCCGGGAATCAAACCACGGACCTCTGGAATACCGACCCAGCGTGGTACCGTTACACCACGAAGGCACGCTAGGGAAGTGGGAGAAATACCTTATAAACTCTGTCTCAAAACAAATTTATTAAACGTTATAAATGGTCTAATTTTACTGCAAAAGAATTTGTTTGTTATGGGGTTGTTAAGCTTTCTGTCGAAAACATGGTTGCGGTAGATGTTTCCACCGGGTTTTGATTTTAATGTGGGAAAAATCGAAATATTATGTATGGAGTAAGATCCTTTAAAACCAATCAGCTAGAAATCCTTATCGAGAGGTGGATGGAACGAGAAATACTTTAGGATTTTATTTCCCACAAGGCTTTTTTTTTTTTTTTTTGTTTTTGTCTTTTTTGTTATGGTTTTGATGTATGCGGGCAAAAGTTTTAAACTATTGCTCAATGTCTATAATCAACAATAGATGTACTCCAGGCGTTTCTTGTCTTGTCTCGTCAAAATAGGGATGGATTTTATGCTGATAATCCTCGTGTGATTGCCTAAATTAAATAATCCTAATGTTAAACGTATTATGTTTAAAATTATTCGCGTGTCTGTCAGCTCAAAGGACTTGGAATGATCTATAGCAACAAGAATCGTAGGAATAAAAGACGATGGTGTATGCATAGAGAAATAAATGAAATAAAAAGTAATTTTTAATTTTGAAACCCTTTCCTTTAACGTCTTATTTTCCACTTACAACTCCGTGCCAGAATGAGATTTCAGTATCCCGTTTTATGTAAATGAAATGGAACCAGTATTGAATGGGAAGTTCAGTCACTTCAGTAAAAGCTTAAGTTCTCAGTAGAGCGTGTTCTGGCTTCGGGCCACATCATTGTTTTAAGAATGTCTTACTACGTACGGCCTGTTACTTACATGCCTTACATTACTTACACACATGTCCATAAATTAAGGATAATTCCGAGTCACGCGGAAATC